AGGTCTAGACAGGTACTAAACCAGGACTAAACCAGGACCACGCCAGGACTACACACCATTTCTAAACAAGGTCTGATCCAGGTCTAAACCAGGACTAAAAAAGAACTAATCAAGCACTAATCCAGGTCTAAACCAGGTCTAAATCAGGACTAAACCAGGACTAAACCAGGGTCAGGGTGAGGGACGGGGAGGGACCAGGTCCACAGACCAGGACCACGGACTTTACCTGGTAGGAAAAGTTTCAGAGACACTTTTGTCCTGAGGGCCGTTACTCTCCTCACACTGGACCTGACACTGGACCTGACTGGACCTGACTGGACCTGACTGGACCTGACTGGACCTGTTGAGCTGCTCTGAGGATTTTATTTGACCTTTTCTTTTATTATTGTGTTTTTATTGTTCTGCTCCAAGATTCAATTAAAAACACAAAAGTGAAATAATCCAACAAAACCTCAAACAGACTCACACCTGATACTCTGACCTGGACAGGGATCAAAGTAGACCTGGTTTAGACCTAATGTAGACCTGGTTTAGACCTGGTTTAGACCTGGTTTAGACCTGGTTTAGACCTGGTTTAGACCTGGTTTAGACCTGGTTTAAACCCTGGTTTAGTCCTGGTTTTAGACCTGGTTATTTTAGACCTGGTTTAGACCTGGTTTAGACCTGGTTTAGGACCTGGTTTAGTCCTGGTTTAGACCTGATGTAGACCTGGTTTAGTCCTGGTTTAGTCCTGGTTTAGTCCTGGTTTAGAGACCTGGTGTAGAACCTGGTTTAGGTCCTGGTTTTAGAGTCCTGGTTTAGACCTGAGACCTGTTTAGACCTGGTTTAGTCCTGGTTTAGACCTGGTTTAGTCCTGGTTTTAGACCTGGTTTAGACCTGGTTAGACCTGGTTTAGACCCTGGTTTAGACCTGGTTTAGACCTGGTTTAGACCCTGGTTTAGACCCTGGTTTTAGACCTGGTTTAGACCTGGTTTAGACCTGGTTTAGACCTGGTTTAGACCTGGTTTAGACCTGGTTTAGACCTGGTTTAGACCTGGTTTAGACCTGGTTTAGACCTGGTTTAGACCTGGTTTAGACCTGGTTTAGACCTGGTTTAGACCTCACACCGCTGTTACCGAGCAACAACAAGGTCCAAATCTTGTGTAAAATGCAGAATAAATAAAATAAAAAAGTAAATGACAAAACCTTTATTTTGTTAAATGATCGTTTAAACAAATGACCTCTGACCTCTTTTCCTCCAGTGAACTTCTCAAAAACTAAAATATTCAGACTTTAGCAGTGACAAGAAACAAACTCCAGTTAGAATCTGTAAAACACAAACTATTTTTCATTTGGTCGAGCTTCAGATTGACACATGTGCAGTGTTAACGGGATTTTAAATCATCAAATCTGAGTTATTCAGAACAATAAAGATCTTTGACGAAGCTGTTTGACTGGTTTAAACTGTCAGAAGAAAGATTTGTTTCTGTTGTTGTTCTGGGTGGAGAGATTCTGACCCGTGTGTTGGTTTCAGTGACTCATGTGAAACAAAAGAAGCTCATTGGTCGATTTCAGTCACAAACAAAATCACTTTTCTCCCTCAGATTCACTCAGTTTAGTGAAATAAACCAGGACTAAACCAGGACTAAACCAGGACCAGGACTAAACCAGGACTAAACCAGGTCTAAACCAGGTCTAAACCAGGGAACTAAACCAGGACTAAACCAGGACTAAACCAACCAGGACTGAAACCAGGACTAAACCAGGACTAAACCAGGTCTAAACCAGGTCTAAACCAGGTCTAAACCAGGACTAAACCAGGACCAGGTCTACCACTAGGACTAAACCAGGTCTAAACCAGGTCTAAACCAGGACTAAACCAGGGGACTAAACCAGGTCTAAACAGGACTAAACCAGGTTTAAACTAAACCAGGACTAAACCAGGACTAAACCAGGACTAAACCAGGGCTAAACCAGGACTAAACCCAGGACTCAATGGACTAAACAGGACTAAACAGGACTAAACCAGGACTAAACCAGGGTCTAAACCAGGACTAAAACCAGGACTAAACCAGGACTAAACCAGGAAACAGGACTAAACCAGGACTAAACCAGGACTAACCAGACTAACAGGACTAAACCAGGACTAAACCAGGACTAAACCAGGGACTAAACCCAGGACTAAACCAGGACTAAACCAGGACTAAACCGGAACCAGGACTAAACCAGGACTAGGACTAAACCAGGACTTAAAGGACTAAACAGGACTAAACCAGACTAAACCAGGACTAAACCAGGACTAAACAGGACTAACCAGGACTACCAGGACTAAAACCAGGACTAAACCAGACTAAACCAGGACTAAACACTGACTAAACCAGGACTAAACCAGGGACTAAACTACAAACGGACTAACCACCAGGACTAAACCAGGACTAAAACCATGAGTCTAAACCATGGATTTGTATTTCTCTTCTGCTGTTGTGATTCTGTGGACTCGCTCATAATCGAGATGGAGAAACGTCTCAAGGGACGTTTCCTCCAAACAAAACATCTGAAAGCTGAAATTTTCCCATAAATCGTCATATTTGTTTTGATACAGATGGTCCCTGATTGGCTAATCCACCTGTCAATCACACCCATCTGAGACTGATCCCGGTCAGGGTTTTTGTATTTTTA